TTTTCACTGTAAGTATGTCCTTAAAATCACATAGGACATACTTATACTACAAATGTATTCATTGCCCGGCCAGCCTGGCTCAGTGGTTGAACGTCAACCTGTGAACCAGAAGGTCATGGTTCGATTCCCGGTCAGGGCACACACCCGGGGTTGTGGGCTCCATGCCCAGCGTGGGGCGTACAGGAGGCAGCAGATCCATGATTCTCTCTCATCATTGATATTTTTTTCTCTCTCTCTCTCCCTCCCTCTCCATTCCTCTCTGAAATCAATAAAAAAAATATTTAAAAAAAGTGTTCATTGATCTGAAATTCAAATTTCACTGGGCATCCTGCCTTTGGTCTTCCGGGGCCAGCTCCCGTCTCCTAGGACCACAGCTTTTCCAACTGCAGAGAAAGTAGAGGCTGCTTTCGAAGCAGCGGGGCCCAAGACCAGCATCGAGCGTGACGTAGATCGACTCTTCTGGTGCCTCGGCGCTAACCTTCTGGTTTATCTGGGTTCAAGTCCCCCCACTTTTGTTGTGATGAGCATGAACTTGTTTTCATTCACAATTCTAAGACACTCACTTGATTTCCTCCAACACTTGGCTCCTGACTTCTGGTCACTGACGAGCCGGGCAGTGCCGGGCCGTGATTGGTTGGATCGTGGGTTGGGTATCCCAAGAGAGCAGGTTGCAGCGTCTTGCTTTTAGTCCGACGACGACAGACAACATGGACTCTGGAGTCGGCCCAGTTGGATCCACATCCTCACTCCACATCCTCTGGCTGTGCAGCGGGCGCGTCGTCACACTCCTGATCCCAGCGTTCTTGTTTGCAAGGTGGAACGAGCAGCCGTGCCGGCCTCCTGGGCTGTTGGAGGGTTACCTGAGCCGATCCAGGTACAGATCTTACAGTAGCTCCTGCCCAGAGGTCAGCGAGGATGAGCTGTACTTATCACTTATATCTGGTTAAAAAATAAGACTCTCACGTTGACTTTAGAGAGGAAATACGCACCTCTTATCCTAAGAACGGCGATCCCCTCACAACCAAGAATTGTCTGGACCTGAGGCGTGAACAGTAAGGTGGAGAAACCCCGACTTAGAGGATGTCTTGGACGTGGGTTGCGTCGTGATCCAGCCCACACCTGCTTGGCTGGAGATTTCCAGTCACGCGGATGACTCCCGCCAACGCAGTTCTGAGGTTGCCCACGGCTCGGCTGATGGGAAAACTGTTTGCGAGGCGAGGACGGGGGCTCCTCCTCCCCCTTTTGCTTGAGTGAAGCCAAGCGGGCTGGGCTCCCAGTGCAGCAGCTCCTCCCTGCCCAGGCCCAACCTGGAGGGGCCGAGCGGGACCCCGATCTTCCTGGGCCCAGGCCGAGTTCTTCTCCGCCACCTTCCGCCCCCATTGTCAGGCTGGGGCTCCCGCTTGCCCTGGATGGGGTGTTTCCACGTGGGGTCTCTGGCTGTCCCTCGCTCACCTGGTTCCAACTGACTGGCCCACCACCCGTCTGCATCCGGCGCGCTGGCGGATGTCTGGACACGATGGAGGGTTCGGGTTCCGTGGTTTTGCAGGAGGCACCCAGGCCCTGGACAGATGAGCTGATGCAAAGGGCCACGAAGGGAAGAAGAACGTCTCGCTGCTTCTGGCACACGCCTCCCTCTTGTTGAGAAGACGCAGTTTGCTTTGCAGCTTCTCCCGTAAGGAGTCCAGGTGCCCTGGCTTCTCCCGTAAGGAGTCCAGGTGCCCTGTTATCACCGTGCGGTTGACACAAACGGCACCTTTGGGTGGTGAGAGGGTGTTTATTGTCTTATTCCGTCTAACTTCAAGGCCAGGTTCTTAGAGGCGTGGACGGCCCAGCTGCAGGTCGTGGAGATGACCGGCCTCACGTGTCCAGAAGAGAAGAGGCCAGGCCCAGAGAGAGACGTGACTCGGCCCAGCCGCCCTCCTCCCACCGGCGTTGGCTCTGGGCTGGGACGCAGCGGGTGTCCAGATGCCTGACCACGCTCTGCAGGCCAAGGCATACAAACAAGAGCCCGTGGCCTGGGGGTGTGAGGACAGCTGCACAAACAGACGGGGGGCTCCGGGGCCAGCCTCCTGCCAGAGCCTGGTGCCCGCATGGGGGAGCGGGCAGTGCTGAGGGCAGTGGGGGAGATGGCGGGTCCCCCCAAGAGCCCTCCCTCTCTGAGCCTGAGCCCAGCGCCGCCTTGGAGAAGAGCTCCCGCCCTCGTTCCTGACCAGCGTCCGGCCAGGTTTAGTCTGGAAAAAGCGCAAGTGGCGACTCCAGGGCCTGGACTGCGGCTGGCTCCTGGGACCTCTTGGGTAACGGGGGGACTCCCCACAACCTCCCAGCTCATGGAGAGTTTCTAGATGGAAATGGCCACGCGGGGAATGATTTGCAGAGCAGGGACAAAGGGACCCAACAGGGACTTCCGATCGTCCGAGAGCCACAGGACCACATGCCGCCCGCAGGTGCAAACACCTCACGGTGCAGGTACCGGGAGGGAGGCTCAGAGTCGACAAGGGATGTGCCCAGCACCACACGGCACGCGGCTCTAGGCTTCAGTTCTCTCAACCCCATTGCTCTCTCCACCTCGCGGGCAGCTATTCCAGACCCCCGATTTTCAGAGACATCTGGATTTTGTATAATCTATTCTGTTAAACAAATGGGATTTAAGGAGTGCGACTACATGTGATTTTGGCTATCTTAGGACACCTTTCAATTAGATAAATTACAGAGCAAAGAAAACACTTTTGCTCCTATCACGGGGCCTAAGTGTGAGCTTGAAGACCATCGGCCGGGAGAGAAGCCTGGCGGACTTTGAGTGGCTGCCAGGCCCACAGCAACGCTCTGAGCAAGGAGCCGCATTGCGAGCTTTATGCCTGTGGCCGGCTCCCCTGGCCGCTGGACGGTGCCGGAACGGAAGACTGCCGATTGGAGGCTGGACATGAGGCCAGTAACCAACGAGGTGGCTCAGTACGAGGACTCTGCCCAAGAGAGGGGCGCTTAGTAAAGGGCAATTCACTGGGCCGTTTGGAAGCCCAGCTCAGGGGCAGGGAGCAAGGAGGCGGGGAGGCGGGGAGGTGGGGAGCAGCTGGGCTGGGGAGAGGATGATGGGGTCTGGAACGGGGCTCTGGGAACAGCAAGAAGAGTGAGTGGGTCACGTGAAGGGTCAGAGCATCCTGATGGGCACCTCAGCTCACCTGGAGTCCTGATCATGTGACTGGGAAGTGCTTTCCTGGGCGTCTTCCCTTCCCTTCCTGTGTCTGCGGTAAATACCCTGGAACAGCCCCGAGTGGTCATGGCTAGGACTTCCTGGGAGCCCGCCCCCCCGAGTCCTGCACGGCTGGGAGGTGGAGGTGGTGTGAGGTGGCGAGTGTTCCTCGCTGAGCCCATTCCTCTTCCTCCACGTCGAGACCTGGGCAAGCCCAGGGGAGGCCTTGGTGGCCCCACTGTCAGCTGACCCTAATCCAGCGGTTCTCAACCTGTGGGTCGCGACCCCTTTGGCAGTCGAACGACCCTTTCATAGGGGTCGCCTAAGACCATCCTGCATATCAGATATTTACATGATGATTCATAACAGCAACATGACAGTGATGAAGTAGCAATGAAAATAATGTTATGGTTGGGTCACCACATGAGGAACTGTATTTAAAGGGCCAGAAGGTTGAGAACCACTGCCCTAATCCAAGTGCCGGGGGCTGGGCTGGGGGGAAGTCAGTGCAGGGCATGTGTGAAGGGCAGGGCTAAGAGAAGGTTGGTGCAGTCCAGGGACCGAAAGAATGAGGCTGGATTTTAGGGTGCAAGGTCAAGGGGTAAAGCAGGCTGAGGCCTGGTCATGACAGGCCTCATAACAGCACTTGCACTTCACCCCGATGGGAAGCCACAGAAAGGTCGACGTGAGGGGGCATATGATCTCTTTCCTGTTTCTTAGGCTCGGCCTCAAATATTTAAATATTGATGTGAGAATAATTAGCTATGTGGCCGATCAACAAAGCCCTGGAGTGTCTGGGTTGTCCAATATGGCAGCCACTGGCCACTGCCGAGGGCTGAGCTGAGCGAGTCTGACATGAGATGTGCCTCATGATAACATACATGCCGCATTTTGAAGACTCAGTTGAATTGAAAGCTATGATATCTCCTTGATAACTTCACATTGATTACATATAGAAAGGGTAACATATGAATATACTGGGCTAAATGCAATGTATTATGGTGATGTCTGATATACTATTATTAAAATCAATTTCTCCCTAACCAGTTTGGCTCAGTGGATAGGGTGTCAGCCTGTGGACTGAAGGGTCCCAGGTTCTATTCCGGTCAAGGGCATGTACCTTGGTTGCGGACACATCCCCAGTAGGAGGTGTGAGGGAGGCAGCTGAATCAATGTTTCCCTCTCATCAATGTTCCTAACTCTATCCTCCCTCTCCCTTCCTCTCTGTAAAAAAAAAAAAAAATCAATAAAAATATCAATTTCACTTTTTTTTTAACTTTAGAAAAGCCGCTACTAGGAATTTTCAACTTACATTGGTGGCTTGCGTTATATTTCCGCAGCCAGTGCTGGAGAGAGAGTTAGAGG